ATATAAAATAAGGTAGTTATACCATTGTAATTCACTAAACAGTGTTAAACGTTATTTGTGAATTGATGGTTTACCTCTACTCTATAGTTGGTATGTATAGACTTAAGAAAGTGTCTGTTAGATTTCAGAGTAATAGTCAAAATATAATACTAATTATCAAACGTTTCATGAATACATTTAAACCAAACATTTATGCAGAGTTGGTTATTACAAAATCTCTAACCAGATGTAATGAGAATGGGATCTCTTTTAAAAAAGACTTCAATCTACTAGATCTAAAAAAACACTTCGAGCACTCAGAATTGTTTAGAATCGTCAACTAGATAAAATGGAACATTTAGAATTTACCAGATATCAACCTGACAAAGGTTTAATTGGTTTGAATACACAATAAAAATTAACGAAAGTAATCTTGATTATATACGATTTCTATAAATGCATCCCCAAGTAATCTATTCATCATTCACTTTTGGTAATGCGTTTTCTTTACCAATAAAAGGAGGTATACTTGACAGTAAAGGAAATATTTTATCAAACTGATAAATTAACTTGCATGATTTTTCTCTAGTTAATTTTTCATTGTGTTCAAATAAAATGTTACCACTTAACTCTAATTAAATTATAATGAATTTAAAAGAAACTAAGTCTCAAACGCGAATACCCTTAGTAACAGTCTACTATGGGAGAGAACAAACCAACTTCCACATGAAGAGGAAATTAGAGAAAGACGTTGAAAGTGGATAGGACATGCATTGAGGAAATCATCAAACACCAACACGAGGCATACGCTAACTTGGAATCCTGAAGAGGAAGGTCAAAGAACTCACTGAGTCAGGAATTGTAAGAAGACATAAAAAGGGTGAATAGCAACTGGAAAGAACCGTTAAGGATTGTCCAGAACAGAGTTCAATGGAGAATCTTGGTGAGCAACCAATGCAAGTAAGTAAGTATCAAACGATTAGTGAAAGTGATTGAATAAATAATAATTGTTAGGTTTGAAGCTTAACGAGTTCACTTAGTCTGCGTACGAGAACGAGATTCGGTGACCAATGACCAGTGAGCTAGCTATTGCTGCGCCCCAGCCCCGCTATCTAGAGGGAGAAGTCCAAGCTCGGAATGAGAAGTGTATTCTGCAGCAACCAGAGAAAAAGTGCCTAGCAGAAAACATACTCGTTTATATATTGATTGTACACCCGTTTGGATTAATAATTAGAAGAAAATCACATACATGAAAAATACTCACAGTTATAACAAATCATATGCTGAGTATAGTTCATAGTCAATAGAATACAAGAATATTGTATATTATACAGAATAAATATCATACGAGAAAAGAAAAGAAATATTACATTGCGTAATCATTACATTGAATCAAAAGAATGTAATGATGAATAAAACTCATATTAAGTAAATCAATCGAATATTGATTATTTCCTTCCAATCCTATCAATAATGTAATAAGTTTGTAACAAAAAGTTTGGATTATTAATTTTTTAAATCACTTGAAAGACTTGTTTATCAATTAAACTAAAGAAAATGAAAAACTGCGCTTGAAATGAGTTAAATAGTAATGGAACAAAGAGAAACCTGATAAATATTTTCTGAATGCAAGTATTAGATTTATTTATATCAATTTCTTTTGATTAATTCTATTTTCAGTTGGTAACATTTTGAAGCATAAGGCATATTGGATAGGATTCATAATAAACAAGTGATCATTTACTCAATCACAAATGACAATAATCCAAAATAAAATGTTGAACTTATTTCATGGTTTTCTGAATCTAACTAGTCCCACAGGTTTAAACAAATTGATAAAAGTAACGTAAATATAACTATTTTCCAGTTTTAAATCAACATGTTTAATTACGTGAAATTCAATAGCTATCTAAAGATAATTAACATGACTCATCAATTACCATATATTAGTCTACAGAAAATAATTTTCTGTAACGGTATTTTTAGTAATGCAATGAAAGCTTTAAAAACAAAAAAACATATAAAATCATAAACTATCTCTGGTATTGTGGTGTGTGCTACTTATGTAGACATAAGTAGTATATGACGTGAGTCATGAACCCAATGTCTGGCAGCAGAGAGACAAGAAGATCGAACAATAAAGAATGAAGAAGGAATGCAATTTGTATGAAAATGCAAGAACAAAGGAATTCTGAGTCATTTGAAACAATCGATGAACATTTTGCAAATTGAACATTTAATATATGGTTGTTAGATTTTACTAACTAGTTCTGTAGTTTGTTATAAACTTCATTCGATTGTCCCCACCTGTGTTTTGTTCACTACAGTATTACTTAAGAATCCTGTAGATCATGATGGTAGTAGGTATTTCAGCCACATAGAAACACATGTAACTCAGCAAGTTCCAGTTAGTAACAATGACCTTTGATGATAAATAGTAGTTAAAAGAATCCATAATCCAATTTATTTGAGTATGACTCTTATTTGGTCATTTTGAGCTATTTCACAACTGAACACATTAAATAGTATCATATATTTTCAACATCATTAATTGTTAGTTACTTATCTCTATCTTATTCTATCTAGTAGTTAATAACTATTTTATTATAAATCACGTTAATAATGTAAAACAGTGAGATTCATTTTGATCATAGTTTCTACTTTATAGATCATGTGTTGAAATTTTATGTTTGTTTACTTTGTAGACAAACAAACAAACAAACAAAACAAAACAAAAAAGATAAACGTATTATACGATCAATAAACTTCTATGATTGTAAATGTGTTTACTTTACTGATTATCAAAATAACCCCTATTAAAACTTACCAAATATCTGGAACATAAGTTAAATAATTTTTTTAAATTTTATCCCAACCTTTTTTTAAATATTGATTAGATATATGGAGAAAAAAATTACCACATATTTAACAGATGAAAAGAAAATAAACAAAGACGGTAAAAATAATAAGCTCTAAAGTTGTTTAATGTAATTAGTCCCTTGGATAAATTTTGATAATGTAATAACAAGACAAAGATTATCAGAACTAGGGGATATATTAACGCAATACATTTCGAACAATCTGATCACACATATACTTGTTAAGAGCATTTATATATAAAAATAAAAGGTCAACTAGACTAGAAATAGGTTAAGATGAGCCAAAGGTATATATGTGACCAGATTGTTCGAAATGTATTTGATAAGTCCTATTAATTTTTAAAGGCTATACTCGATTCCTAAGCTATTCTGGTAACTCGCAAGCTAGAACTACGTAGCGACCTGAACACGAGAGAAAAAGACGCAAAATAAACGAAAAGCACTTTACTCTAAAGGTTCCTTTTCGTACAGAAAAACATGCGTATTTATAAATTATTAGCATTTGTCAAATCAACACTATATTTTGGCCAATCCGCTAAAAGACTTCTTATGCTACTGACCAATAGCAGGATAGCACGTTATTATTCTAAAAAGCTACCTCATGTTCTGATTGGTTGGAACTCTTCGGCCCCTCTAGGGTCTCTGGAGGCTCCGTAGTTGTTCTCGGGAGCCGACTCAACAGTATCGCGCTAATATATCACATAGTTCTGATAATCTTCGTCTTCTTATTACATTAAAGTTGTTTGTTATTTGGCATATTGTGTTATTTTAGTAATAAATAATGTTTGAAAAATGGAATGCATGTATAGCTGACGACTGCATAGGTAATGGGATAATAGACTATCATTTCTCATAGAAAGTATGGTACAAATGAACTCCATGTTCAGATTTGATTAGTTTACTTGATTGAATGAATAGCCGTAGATTTCTGACTGAGATAACTGATTTCACAGTTTACAGTTATCATGTTATCAGAGAGAATTTAGGCTCTTAGGTAGAGTCATGACTTTGTGTTATAACGGTTGGGTTTTTTTATATACACGTATGCACGAATGGGACGTTAATTTACATTAGATTCCCCCACCCACCCAGTGTCTATTCTACAGGAATTCAACACAACTCACATCAAGAACACGTGATTAGCCTGAACACAACGTAAATATGTTTCTACACCAAAAACCCGACACAACCCAACAATAATGAACAATCAATAATAAGTGGGTAATAAAAAAATAAGGATAAAGGAATATATAACTCATCTGACACCTGACAGACTATCTACATGTCTGACTAAGCAGACAACCAATCATTATCATTCTCGCCCACATATCACTTTGTAACATCGTATTTAAATCAGCTGTCGTATTCAATACTTGATCTTCATGCATTTTCTTTTCGCAGTTATCATGTTACCCGCGAGAACTTAGGCTCTTGTGTAGATTCATGACTTCACAACATTGTATTTAAATCATCTGTTGTATTCAACACTTCATCTTGACCAGCGTAAATTAATTTGTTTGATATTTCGTGATTCAGTTTGATAAACTTAACATCTGTCCTATGGATTTGAAATGTGAACACAGTTTACCAATACATAAATACAATCACTGGTGTGTTCTACATTCAGAAATTATCTGAAAATTATGTTATTGATATGGACACAAAACATGACTTCATTGTCTTATTAGATGAGACGATGATAACTGACTCAAATTTTTTATTGCAGATATTTCATATAGAGATAGAACTGATTTTAATAAGTTCGTATAAAAGTTATATTATGTCAAGACTCTCACAATGTAGTTTATAGACTACGATGTTGATAATTTAGGATTATCTGTTAATAATTATCCAACATTTACTAGTAACCCTGTATAACCCATTTAAACCAGCACATGTTTAACCAAATCATAAATGCGCTTAAGTAAACCAATTAAGCTAAACATTGATGTTATCTGTCATGAAAAGTCAAACTAAACATAGCAAATGACTAATTTCCAATCATCTACATTTTTTTCAAAGAAAATCCTAAAATTCGATCGAAAAAACTTTAATAAAAACCCAACAGTAAACACCATTCATAAAGTAAACACTATTAAGCAAAAAAAGATATCAAAATTAAATACAAAAGATCAAACTTACTTTTGATACTGAACGATAAATCAATATATAAAGTGTAACTACACATAGAATGCATAAAATATAACTGCATGTTTGACTTTTCTGTACAATTTGATATAGAACTGTTTCTATCATTGTATGATTTAATTTTAATATTTCTGTACATTCAAATTTTTCACTTTTATAATATGAACTAAATGAATAATCAAATTTGATAGTTGAATTATAATCCATAGTCTTGTTGCTATGACGACTATTATTATTATTATTATATTATTATTATTATTATTATAAATATTGTTATCATTATTATTTATATTTGTATCAAAATGAACTTGTTCAACTCTAACAGTAAATGTTGAACTAAATCCTAATATTATACATATAAAAATCAATATTAAAATGACACGTTTAGCTCGTTCTCTTGTTAAAATATTTTTAAATGGATGACATAAACAAAAATATCTATCAAATGCAATACAACTAATTAATAAACTACTGAATGGAATAAAAGTATTATTTATAAAATAATAAAATTTACATAAAAAGGTTGAATCAATATTCCATTCAAGATATTCTATAATCATTGTACCAGGTATAAGTGTAACACATGCTAATAAATCAGATATAGCTAATATAAGTATAAATAATGTAGCTGTTAAACGATCTTGTTTTAATGAATATACAATAATTACAAGTGTATTACCAAATATTCCAATTAAACAAATTATTCCTAACATTATTAATACAGTTGGAATTTGATTTGATAAATCAGCTGTCATTAAAGACATGAATAATGATTGTTGTTATTATTATTGTTGTTATCTTCGTTGTTGTTGTTGTTGTTGTTGTTTTCTTTTAAATTATGATTTAGGAAGAGTTTTATCAAATGGTATTTAATAAATAAGTTGAACAGTTCATCATTTTATCTGGTAGCATTATACTTTAACAATCTGAAATAAAGAAACAAACGAAAAACAAAAGATTAAAATGAGTGATTGACTTAGATAATAGAGATATGTCATTAACTTACAAATTGAATAATATCAGAAGGCGTTTGTAGATATTATAATGATTTTAATAATTGTAATCATGAGTTCATTGAAGTTAGACCACCATGGAAAAGTTGTCTAGTGCTTCAAGGCTTTCCATGGTGGTCTATTGTCTATTTATTATTTATTTAGACACATAATCATTGATACAATAAGGTACTAAATCGATATGTGCGCACATAAATCATTCAATTTGTGTGAGGGCTGGGATACTGCTCAGGTGTCCAAACTGAAGCAGGTGATTTTCTTAGGGAGCCACATCCAGAGCCTTTGACCAAAAGGTCTAATCCACAAGGTAGTGAAGCAACGTCAGGAGATGCAGTCTCATAGTAGCTTGTGACCAACAATAGGTTCACGTGCCATTTGTTACCTTAGGATCCTGGAGTCCATGTACACTATTGGTTTGAAATCAGGGTTTTTCAAGACCCTAGATGGATCATCCGTATGCACCAACCCGGTTGAAGCGCCGAACATTAGCTATTCGTCCTCCGAATTTCATAAACAACAGTAATGCCGCAAGAAGGCATTGAGTAGGACTTCTCTGGAGTAGTTGTATGCATGTGGCCACTTGAGAGCATTTAGAGAGAGAGAGAGCTGACTGTCCTCACTCTCGGTCGTACCAGGGCATTTAGGGGCGCATGTTGGTCTAACTTCAATTGATTCATGATATCAACCATCAAAATTTAATATTGTTTGTAAAATGTCAGAAACAATTATTATTGTTAGTTACATGTTTCACATCAAAATCACAAACTTAAATGAAATTATTTTTTTGATCGAGATCATGAATCGATAGATGTTAGACTAGTATTGGATACCTGGAAACACTGGACACTTGTTTCGTCTTAGTATGGAACTTTTTAGCTGTGAGCATTCATGATCTCACAAGTAGGATTCAGTCACATCAGATATTCAGAGAATTGAGATATAATTCAAGAACAATTATCTAAAGAGTTAATTACATCTTTTCTTCTGTTTTGTTTGTATAACCATGTGTTAATGGATGCTAAATACTTCCATACATAAAGAGATAAATCACAAAATTTTGCCTTAATTAGAAAATCTATTCCGTCTAACTATATACTCTTCTTAAACATATCATTATTATTATTATTATTATTATTATTTTATACAAATATTCGTCAAGATTAGAACGAATAGTTTAACAATAATAATTGGGTACCAAGTATAGAGAAGTAATATCAGCGATTGAAATTTACATAATTCCAACGTTTCGTCCAACAAACTTGTCTGAACTTTTTCAGGGTAATAATTAAAATCCTTATTATTTCACTTAACTCCTTTCCTTTTTACATTTAACTGAATAACGTTTAAAAGAATTCAATATTATATAAACAACTTTGTTTGAATAATTGAAAAACACAGTGGTCTATCACTTATAACTCCTATTGTGTTTCCTGAGTTTCCAATATATTAGATATAGTTAAGAGATCATTTTATCTACATTTTTTCCGCAGTTATACCATTAATGAATATTGTTGAAATGTTTGTTATCCATTTAAGATTATAGAGGATTATCATCTCTGAAGATAAAGATTATGGAAATGTTGTATGCTCCGAAATGGAATGTTTACTTATGAAACTTTTAATATCATTCTAGGTGATATAAACAATAAATGCTTCTTTTTTAAATTATGTGCTATTGATATTGCCTAGAAACATAATGAAAGCTTCAAGATTAAAACATTCACCTCAGTAAACGGTTCTTCTTCTAAATCAAAATAATGACTTTATGAAAAAAATGATTGTATGAATTAAAATTTAATTTACTATTTCGTTTTTATATGATACACTTAATTCAAGGTATTATGTAAGTCTTATCCATGTTATTGTTACATCCAATAGATATTGTAACGAATAGTTTTACTTTTAAAACACAAACCAATCAGTAACTCACTTTTGAAATGTAAATAAACTTAAAGGTAACATCTGTTTACAATCACACAAGGAGTGATAATAATAACAACCCATAAGATTACAATAACATCCCATCAACATGAATGCTTTTATTTCATTTAATAATAAATTCTGAGGTATTTAGGTAGGTAAACTGAATGATATAGGTTACTAGCCAATCAATGCAAAGTGGAGCTATTCAACGAGTTGTTATATTTTAACCATTATTAATCATTCTATGAGAGTGACGCAGCTATTGTAATGAACAAGAACACGAGCGAGGATAACCGAATGAATTTGAATGCAAAATTACAGAACATCTCACTAAAATCTGAGAACCATACAGTAAATAGTTAATTTGCAAAATATCAATCAATTGTATCAAACATGACTATTCCTTTGCAAATATCAGTCCATCGTTTCAGATTTTATTGTTCATGCATTTTTATACTAATTACTTTCTGTTCCTGTTATTTCCCTCTCGATCTTCCACTGAAATACATCCTATGCCTGACCATCGTTATATACTACTTATGTGGATATAACTAGCTCACAACACACTATCACATGAATCATTAGGAATAATCCCAATTGTCACAAGAAAAGTTTAACAGAATCATTAATGAAACAGTTATACCTAGCTTACAATAAACAATTTATGACTGGAATAATATAGAATGACAGTCATAATTTATTTTGTCAATCAAACATAATCTATGAATCTTCGAAGATATTCATATTCAAAATTTAATGAAATATTTTGCTAAATGTGTGTTAATTTAACAAATATGAACCAATGTATTTGGAATTTATGGGAAAGTTATAAGCATAAATTACTGTCGAAACTAAAACACTAAATAGAAGTTCACCATTTCGAAATTCAAATAGAAGTGTTGTGTGTGCTACTAATGTCGACAGATATAAGTAGTATATATTATCAATGGAAAGTGAAATGTCTAATGGAAGAAGGTTAAGATCGAAGAAAATAGGAGGAGAACAGTGACTGATTGCTGTGGAAATGAAGGTCCATTTCTTTGCACTATTATTTTCACTATCGTGTCTTTATAAAAATGTACTCTTGATCGTATGATATATTTCGCTCTCCTTAAAATGTTGATAGCTTAAGTATCGCTTCATGAATCATTCTCTTCCCTATGTATATATGTACGCAAATCCTATTATTAGGCTTTACCTTGTATAGTTCCGCTTTGATTTGATTTGGCTAGAAATTCGCCTCTGTATTCGCTCTCATACACACATTAGCCTCTCTGCTTCAAACTATCTCGATGTACTTGTAGCCTTGTGATCTATGCTATCCACTAATAAACTGTAGTTGCCGCATCTTATTACCTTCTGATTACAAACGCTGTCGTGATTTATATAATAACAGTTATCAAGGTGATTGATTGATGAAAATACTCCACTTCAATATACTAAATTTGTTATTATGCAATAAAACTCTGTTCATTCTTGAGTGGTACTTATGAATTAATTTTTCATGTTTTTATAACTGATATACTTCAAACTATGTAAAAACAAAGTTCGAATAAGGCAATATGGTTTTTAACGTTTGAAAGGATATACGTTTTCATCAATTGTGACAAGTACTGAATGCATTATTTGTATGAAATGACTGAGATTTTGGATTAGTGGATGAATGATGTAATGCTCAACTTCCGTTTTATCTATTATAATGACATTATTGTGGGATGTCGGAAAATTTTTAATCCCCTACAGCAGTTTAGAGACAGCATAAAGAAAACTTCAGTGTTAAAAATTCATTATTACAATTCTAAGTTTAAACATAACATTCAAGTCTCACTTAGTAACGGGTCAAACATAACCGTATTTTCATAGACAAAGTCTCAGACGGATACACACTGGCGATAGTAAATAAAATCAACTTCGGTAAATATCTTCTAAGGAAAGACTATTCTTTTAAATTCAATAATAGAAGCATGAAATTCAAACAATGAACTACACATACGATATTCATGTTTTTTATGATATTGAATTTATATAGAAAATCATAATAAGGAGTTTGGAAACAAAGTTCAAAATATTATGAACAAACATTAAGTAAACATGAGATTTGTATTAAGTGTTCCAGGTCTAATCTTATTGGTAAACATTATTAATATCAGAAGGGTTTTGTGGATATTATAATAATTTCAATGGTTGAGATCATAAGTCAATTGAAGCTAGAACACTACGTAAAACCTGGAAGCACTGGACGGCGTTTCGTTCTAGTATAGGACTTCTCGGCAGTGCGCATTCACGACCCCGTCTTACGGGATTCGAACCCAGGACACACCAGTCTCGCTCGAGAGCGCTTAACCATCAAACCACTGAGCCGGCATCCAATGCTGTTAATGAATAACTTCAACTAATCTACGAAATTGAGCAACACATCCACCATTGTCATCAGTGAGCATCTATCTCACAACTAACCTGGTTGAACTCCACTGGTCACTGCTGCTCACTAGAACCCCAGGATATACCTCTTGAAGCCAATCACTAGTGAGCATATGTTGATTCATATCAGTGGTCTGATTATTAAGCGCTCTCGCGCGAGACCGATAGGTCCTGGTTTCGAATCCCGCGGGGGGCGGGATCGTGGATGCACACTGTTGAGGAGTCCCATAATAGGACGAAACGACCGTTCACTGCTTCCAGGCTTTCCATGGTGGTCTAGCTTCAACTGACCCATGATCTCAACCATCGAAATATTTTTAAGAATATACCATCGATTTAAGCAATTTTAATGTTCATTCACAAGTTTGCCTGCCTCTATAAATCACTTTGAGTTGTCT